AAATAGAAAAGAGCCATGATATTTGCCGCTCCATATTGTGTATGATGTTTATTTTGTGGCACGCTAGTGATACTGCTTACTATCATTAACTAAAGTTGCATGTTTGAAAGTTTTAGTATAGGGAAGAAAATGTAGCTAAAGCTAATCTAATTTTGGGAGAAGACCATAGAGAAATTCAGGAGACTTTGCGAAGTAGGCTTGTTTTGGAAGCATTACCTTGTCCTAATTATGCTAGAGGCATAGCTTTACACAACCATATATTTTAGAATCCATTAAAGAGGTTAATAGCCATAATGATATTGACTAATTGGAAATGATATCTTTGTATTGGAGTGGACCCGATCACTTTTACCTATGCCAAGTGCTGATTAAGTACAAATGTTGGAGAGAGCTAGATAGCTTGGATACCAGACTCACATTGGGGATAAACAGGTTCCCTTACATGAGATAAATTAACAACCATTTGCTGAAAATTATGGCTGAATGCTTTCTTTGTATGTGCAGCTACATCATGTTGACTAGTTTATCTTTTTCATATACATATTATTTCAACAATATCAATTCTATGGCCGAAACTCTCAAGCTATTTCTTGTACCCACCTTCTATCCTAATGTGCAAGACTAAAGTAAAACCAACTCCTTTTTGGCACTAGTAGAATGGATTAGATTCTTGTTTCATGATAATGTGAAGCACTGGGACTGTCACATGCTGTTTGCCTCCCAGAGTTTTTAAGATTCTGCTTTATACTTCTAATGACTTGAACATATGGCTGTACATAATCCCCCTTCTCCCCTTTTTCTTCTCCTTTACTAATCAGAGTTTTAACAGTGTGGACTGCTCTTTATCCTCTCCTTGTGTCTTTATGTTTCTATAGAAATCCCTCAGGACTGTGCTGTATGTAGTGAGGTCTATCGTGTAGGGGTATTGATAAAATATATGGTTGCTTGACACAGTAACATTGTATATACAAGCTGTAACGTAGACTGATTGTTTCTTTCTCTAAATCTTTTCTTCTTGTCTCAGGCCTAATGAGATAGTACAGTCTAACAAAGAATACACTGAGGAAGATGTAAGGGTCGTTCCCATTGGAGTCATCTGAACAGGGATCCTCACACTTTCCTGGATTACGTGGTGATATTGAAGCCATTGAATGTATTTTCTTTGGAACCATTTCTTTAAAGGAGCCGAAGAGATTAAATTGATTTCTTTAATACAACTGCGGTTCCTCGAATATTTGATGACGATTTTTCATCCTCTTCCACCAAGCGTGGAATTCCCATTGAACGTTAACCTCCTAAAGAAGCCCTTCCCAATAGAAATTCTGATGGAGATGTTGATCTTTCTGGGTTGGCTAGAGATGTTTGAAGCACGGCTATCTCAAGTTTCACTCGTGTACATTTTAGTAAGGGCCAATTTGATAGGCTTCATTTTTCACCCAAATGCAAAATTTTTCGTGGTACTGGTTTTCCACACAACATTCTGTCAAGTATTTGGGTCGCCTCACATTCTTGGTCCATATCATTTGAGCCTATGTTGCTGATTCTGGATAATGGTCCAACTTGGGTGAAGAAAACTTGGTTCTTATAAACACACATTTCATTTAATTGATGCTTGATCTGGTCATACACTTGGCCATCTCCCAACCGTTGATCTGTGACTCTTTGACTGATTGCTTAAGTATTGTTTGGCCATTCATTTTCTGGAAGGAACTTTGTGTTTAGAGTTTTCTCTCTTTCTTCTCTCTAACTGCACCGTGTACTTTTTGTGAGTTTTTGACCTGAAAATTTGAGTGACTCTGAAATTCTACATGTTGTGTATACAGTGAGAAAGATTCTTAGTGATATGGTGTGGTTTTGTATTGTGTGTTGAGGCTAGAGAAAACGTCAAAGAAATCTTTGATTTCTTCGTACATATTATAACAATTTTTGGTGATTTCTTAGTGGATCTAGAGCTTTATTCACTTGTGGATGTTCAACGGGTGAGTAGGTCGTAAAACTGAACATTCGGGCCTTTTGTGGCAAAAAATTCTTCGTGTTCTGGTTCCTTTTAAGTTTCTGCAATTCCTTTTGTTACGATTTGTTCGAAAATAAATTTTCAAATAAGATCCTGATACCAACACATTCCATGTGACCATTTTTTCTAGGTTTTTAAGGTATTGGTTTTTCTTTGGTTTAGGTGGAAATTAATTTTCCTGCTGCTCTTCCCCCCCCCCCCCCCCCCTTCTCTTTTTGGGCAATTAGAACAAATTTTGTTCCCCAATTAGAACAAATTTTATCTCTTTATTTGACAATTTTTATGAAATTTTTTAATCACACATTTTTCATCACAACATTATTTCAAAGTACATTTTTCTAGAAAAATGGGGTTCAAACAGCTCCTTACATTATTTTGTAGCAGAAGATTAAAAATTAATTTTGCGAATCAACAAGTATATGGCCTGTATAGGACAGGAACGACCACCTGTCCAAAATTTATCGTCGGTCGGCAGATGGCAGCTGTCAAGGCTTAGAAATTTAGGAAAATTTTACTTGTACATAATTATTACACATAATGGTATCCATAATGTGATGTGGTAATCATCCGATTGTTGATGTACAAGTGTGAGATTTGAATTAAAGGTTGGATTCAGTGTCATGTGTAATTATGAACACCATTACGTAGATAATTATGTACATGTAGCACTTAGTATCTCATTAGAACCATTAATGCCTCTTGTTTCCCTTCAATAAAATAAAAACTTCCAATGGTAAAATAACTTCAATTATAATTCACTAAATTTATTATCGTTTAAGATGATCATAATAAAGGTTATCTTTGCATTAGAATATGAAGTTTTTATCATATTCATTGAGTTCCAAATATCAGGACTGAATGTTTAATGAGGTAAAATTTATATTTAAAAGTTTAAGTATGGTCCGTTTCAAAATTAATAAACAAAGTTTAAAATTTCAAAAATTGGATGTTGTTAAATTTTATTTATAAAATAATTAATTAAAAAGATATTTTATTAGTTAAATATTAAGGTAAAAAATATATACAATTTGATCATAAATTATCAAATTAATTTGTTACAAATTATTTTTTGATCGTAAATCAAAAAAATTCTATAGGCAACAGATTATTTATTGGTCAAAAAATCAAAATTTTTATAAGTCACAACACATTTTATTAGTTGCAAATTATAAATTTTATAGATCATGACTTAATTTAACAGTCATTTCAATTATAAAATTAATTAGTCACAAATATAAATTTAGTTACAATTACAAATTCTTCAAGGTCACATTTATTTACCAATTACGGATTAATAATTTATTGATCACCAATACTCTTCCCATGCACTACAACACTGTCGACCACCACTACCATCCAGACCCACCACCACTGTCAACTTCACAAGCAATAAGAACCACCCAACTCCCCAGTACTACCAAAACAAAAACGACCACCACCAGTCAACAATCAAAAAAACACTACCACCACCACCACCACCATTGCAGTACCATTTGCAAAATCATAGCCACCCATACCCAACAAATTATAAACTCACCTCTGCTCGCTTAAATCTTGTTTGATCACCACCTCATTAATAAAATTGCTGTCGATCATTCCAGTCCACCAATATTCTTACCCCGTCAATAGCTACTCCTACACAAATATGTCCACCTTCGTCCTCATCAAACAATCTCACAGATCTGTCACACCATTGAACCATCATATATTACTATGATTCAATATCACGACGGCCAGTAAGATACTACGCAGACGTCGTTTAGTACCACGGTGACGATTTGCGGCATCTGCTTCGCGTGACGGTACTCATTGTCGCTTCTCGCTCTATTTGCTTCGTGCCACACTCCTCGTGGTTTCTACTCCTTGCAATTGTTCAGTACCATCATCGATTTGTGCGATGTTCTTGCGCGTGCTGTCGACGATGGTCCTGTGTTGCAATCGTCGTTTATAAAATGCAAACTTGGAAAACAACGGTAGTTTTAATTTCCACATGTTAATAATACCAATGAAGAATCGTTCAAGGGCTTGTCACCTAAAGTGGCTCACCACTTGATAGTCATGTCCATTCATAGAAGGCACAATCAGGATTTCATAAAGATTTTTATTTTTTATTTTTTCATTCTTAGAATTATTTTGATAACTCCATATACCTAGATTTCCATAAAAATCGCCAAGCGAGTGGTGTAATTTTCATGCAATTCCCGTTTATCATGCACCCTTCCCATTAACAAGACACAAAGTGTTTATAAAGTTAATGTTTATAAATAAATCAAAATGAGTGGTTAATAAGCAAATAGTACTTATAGGTCCAACGAAATATGTAAATAGGAAAGTGGTTCGGTTTCAAACCTACTTGGGCCATATTTTTATTTTTATTTTATTTGTAAATTTCATCTATTTTGAAACCCGAATTGATAGAATTTTTTCTTACCACTTGAGTAAAACCTTCATTTTTAAAATTAGTAACTTTTAAGGTAACTGCAAACCATCAATTTTATTAAACTTTCAGTCGATTAATGATTTTTCCTTAAAAACTACAACACACGTTTTAGAATTTGGGGGGAAAAAAATAAGAATTGTGCTATACGTACAACATATTATTCACAATTTTTTTCACACACGTACATGCAAGTGGGTGGGATCCACGATTAAAATAATCATGGACCCCACCTTTGCGAGAGGATGTGAAAAATGCTGTGAAAATAAATTCTTTACACAGCTTTTTTCAAAAAATAAGGCTGGAAGTTTCTAACAGAAAAACCTGTCATCTCTCTCTTTCTCTCGGTTTCTCTCTCCTTCCTATTTTCCCCCTTGGCTTTCATTTCAAGAAAAAGGGAGAAATTGAAATTCAATCAAAATCAAGATTTTAGATAATATCATATAGATGTAGAGAGAGATGGACCTCGTAAACAAAAATCTGTTCATACACAACCTTTCTTTTCATTGCCCTAATTGTTTTTTTTTTTTTTTTTTTTTTTTTTTTTTTATCATATTTGGTTTAGTCTTGCCTAATATCATATACCTATTCCGCGTGCTTTTCACTTTGACATTTTCTTGATTATATAAATTTTATTTCTATACATATCAAATTTCAAACAAGGGTCACAATTTTATTTTATTTTTAAATTTGTTTATATTACCCTTTCCATTTATAACATGAGCTTGCTTTTATTGTTAATGTGTATAAAAAGATAATGGGAGTTGATTTAAATTGATTATTTGGTAAGTTCCTAAAATCATTGACATCACGATTATTTGCATTGATTTTTTTAGGACCATTTCAAATCACCAAGCTCCGTGATTGATTGATTTTTTTAGAACTTTTTCAAATAACCAAGCCCTGTGACTGATAATATTATCTGATATACTGGGTGTGTAATGCTTTGATATGCTTTGATTTCCTCCTCTGGCTGTCGTGTAGAGTCACTGGTTTTTAGGGTTTCACAGTTGGGTGAATCTTCAAGAGATTGAATCTTTTTGTTTTGGGGAATTTGTTGGGTTTGAATAGGTTTAAGATGATTACAGAGTAGGAGATTTTGGGGGGGAAGACTAAGAGAGACATTGTTATGGGAAATACTTGTGTAAATGGGAAGATTGCTAAGGATGGGTTTCTTCACACAATTTCAAATTTGTGGTGGCCTAAATTACCACAGCTGTTTTCTAATAATCATAACAAAGAAAAACGTTGTGAGGCGCCACCTGCAGTTAAACAGTTAGAAGGTCCTAATCCTGTTCAGAATACACCCCCTGAATTGGTGAAGGTTGAGGAGGAGGAACGCCAGCCAGAAAACTCTACACAACCCCAGGCAACCGTGATCATATTGAAGGAAGATCAAAAACCACCTCAGTCTAGATCATGGGAAGATGCAATCAAAACTGATGAGAAAAAACCAGTTCAAAATCCTGAGAATGAGAAGCCGAAACCAGTAGATCCCCCAAAGCCCAAGAAACCCCACAATGTTAAAAGAATGATGAGTGCAGGTCTTAAGGTGGACTCAGTGCTAAGAACTAAAAAGGGAAACCTGAAGGAATACTATAATTTGGGCAAAAAACTTGGGCATGGGCAGTTTGGAACGACATTTCTGTGTGTAGAGAAGACAACTGGAATAGAGTATGCATGTAAATCTATTGCGAAGAGAAAATTGTTGACTCTGGAGGATGTGGAGGATGTCAGGAGAGAAATTGAGATCATGCATCACTTAGCTGGCCACCCGAATGTCATTTCAATCAAAGCAGCTTATGAGGATGCTGTGGCCGTTCATGTTGTGATGGAATTGTGTGCAGGAGGGGAGTTATTTGACAGAATTGTTAAAAGAGGGCATTACTCCGAGAAAAAGGCAGCCGAGCTTACCAAGACAATAGTTGGTGTTATCGAAGCCTGCCATTCTTTGGGCGTCATGCACCGGGATCTCAAGCCCGAGAATTTCCTATTTGTCAATGAGGAGGAGGATTCTCCTATAAAGACAATAGATTTTGGGCTATCCATATTCTTCAAGCCAGGTTTGTTCTGAAGTTATTTTCACAATATTTTTTTTTCATAACTTCCCTGCATATATTGATTTAATCTTATTGCCTACTTCTATCATTCTATGTAATATAAATTTTCTTTGTTTTGTACTTTAAAATCTTGACATACTGCTGTCAGCAATGTCATAGCTTCAACTAATTGCCTAGGTCATGAGAAGTCTCGTTACTAAATGTGGTTTATAATGATCAGTAACGACAAGTATCCTCAGCATACTTGGTGAATGTATCCCTTAACAAAGTTTAAAATAAATTAGACTGATTCCAAAACTACATCTGTTCAACTTTTCAATATAAACATTAAACCAAATATCCATGTAATAGACTGAAATGGCAAACTGATGGATTGCTGCAGAATATGACAAGATAATAGACACTAAAATACCAATATATTATTCGTTGTTCCTAGATTCTCTAGCTGAAACAAATGTGTTCTGTATTTTTCCTTCCTCCAATGCATCTGGGATGCAAGACCAATCACGTATTAGTGAGAGGCTGGAAGGCAGAGGTTGATGAAATTATTATTTTAGAACTTCAATGTATCTTATTGAAAAGATGATGGTTGTTTGTGAGTGGAAGGATATTCATTTTTAGCTCAAGATGGCAATTGAACTAAAAAAATTTCTCGTGGAGTTAGAATTTTTCTTAAATACCAAGTTATCAGATAAAATTTACAAGAAACCTTTTTCTGTAAAGTCCCCTGAAGGAGGTTTATGGTTACCTGTGGGAAGGAAAAAAGAGTTTTGTCTGTTTTTTCTATATGATCCAACGCAGCCTCGTTAATAAGAAACTTTAGGAATAGAAGCTATGTTAATGTGGAAGGCAGTATGCCGCAAAACTGATTCAGTTACAAGAATGGTTTAATCACAAATTAAACGGTTATAATAGGTTCCACCTCACAGATACCCATCAGATAGCCATGACAAATAAGATTTCATTTTATACTAGTCGAGACTGCCGGTACTTTATTAGGCATAAGATTAGTATCCATATTAGGTAAAACAGAATTAAATTCCTAGTAATTTAGAAATGGATTCATGGTCAAAATGAAAATTTTGATGCAGATGTGAACATGGTTACTATTTGACTTAATTTTAGATCAACTCTATCTACAGTATTACAAATACGTGCAGCTCTATAATTTCCTTCACCGGCCAGCAAACTGGCTGGGACACTTCATATTAAAGAAAGAGGGGTTACAATTAGGATCAGTCTTGCTATGTGTCAGACGAAATTCTTACTAAGGTCAACGCTAGCTACAGTATCACAAATACATGCAGCTCTATAATTTTCTTCAGCTACCAGCAAACAGGTTGGGACACTTCAGTATTAAAGAAAGAGGGGGTTATGATTAGGAACAGGCTTGCTATGTGTTAGACGAAATGCTAATTGCTAAGGATTGTGCTGAAAGGAAACCTTGATCATGAGATTTTCCTCTTTTCCTATGCCAATACAGTTCTCTACAAATTTTTTATTTTGACATAGTTTCTCTGGTCAAGAGACATTACATTCAAAAGAGACTGCATTTTAATTTCAGTCATTCTACTCAGTTTGCAGAATATACCCACTAATAGACTTCCAGTCATACCCAGTCATATTGCACCTTTGCTTATGGACTATTGAAGGGACATAATTTCCTAGTTCCCATAACAATTTAACAATTCATCTTGTTATTTATACACCTTTCAACCTGCAAGTTCACTATTCTAATGCAATGTGCACTGTTGAAATATCCAAGTCTTTAGTTATGCAAGTTTGACTATGCTCTCTTTGGTTAATGCTCTGCAATATAGGGGATATATTCAATGAAGTGGTTGGTAGCCCATATTACGTCGCTCCAGAAGTTCTTAGTAAGTGTTATGGACCAGAGGCAGATGTCTGGAGCGCAGGTGTGATGATTTACATTCTTCTTTGCGGCGTGCCTCCATTTTGGGGAGGTAAGATGTAGAATTTTATTTTTTTCCTCCCTTTAATTCATGTTCCTCTTAATTTATAAAGTCCAGTTTCTATGCTTCTCTAAATTCATTTGGCACAGAAAGTGAGCAAGAAATATTTGAAGAGGTTGTGCATGGCGATATTGATTTCTCATCAGATCCTTGGCCTAGTATCTCTGAAAGTGCCAAAGATCTGGTGAAGAGAATGCTCGTGAGGGATCCAAAAAGGCGGTTAACTGCTCACGAAGTTCTTTGTAAGTCACGAATGTTTCACTTTATGGTTATGGTATGTGTATATTTAAATGCAAAGACTATAAGATGGAACATATTAGCTGATGCAAATGAATTAATTGCCTGCATTCCAAAATAATTGGATCTTAAATCTAGAGATGAGCTATATCTAAAGTATTATTTCGACTGAATGTTTATGTTGTTACAAGATAAAAATTGTCATGCTTGTTTACTTTGTTGAGATCAACCTTGTTAATCTTATGAAAGAAACCAAGCTTAGGACTTTTTCATGGAAATATTTGACAACTATAGAATGATTTATGAAGCTGTAAAAACATTTGGAATTTCGAGTTGGATAGTGTTAAGAGCCAATATAAATCTAAATAATACAAGTTTATGGTTTTTGTAAGCACACAATTTTTTTCCGTACACAGCTAAATTCAGTTTTCTTGCAGGCCACCCTTGGGTGCAAGCTGATGGAGCAGCTCCTGATAAACCTCTTGATTCTGCAGTTTTAACTCGCTTGACACAATTTTCAGCTATGGACAAGCTTAAGAAAATGGCTCTTAGGGTATGTGGTATCTACATTCAACTCAAAAAAAGGGTTCTTATCGAATTTGAACAATCAAAATTTTGACAATACTACTCAAAACAATGTTCTCCTTTTTGTTTGGTATTACAACATTGAAACTAACTTTTTCGATTATAGGTCATCGCAGAAAGTCTTTCAGAAGAAGAAATTGCAGGGCTAAAAGAAATGTTCAAAATGATAGATGCAGATAATAGTGGTTATATTACTTTTGAAGAACTTAAGGCTGGACTAAAACGATTCGGAGCAAATCTGGATGAATCTGAGATATATGATTTGATAAAGTCTGTAAGTATTATTTTCAAACTCATACATTAGGACTAAATATGTTAAAAGGTGTTAGTAGGAAGAATACACGAGTTTATGTTACATATGATATTTCTTGCATTTGAATTATCAAATGTTTGTTTCTTGAAATGCAGGCAGATGTTGACAACAGTGGCACGATTGATTATGGCGAGTTTATAGCTGCAACATTGCATCTGAACAAAATTGAGAAGGAAGATCATCTCTTTACGGCCTTTTCATATTTTGATAAGGATGGCAGCGGTTATATTACACCAGATGAGCTTCAAAAAGCTTGTGAAGAGTTTGGCATAAAGGATGTCCACTTGGAAGAAATGATTCGAGAGGCTGACCAAAACAATGTAAGTCTCCTCAATAAACGTAGCATTTGTCCAAATAAATTTGGGGTCGACTGCACTGTTTCAATCCATGTTTTACCTTTCAGGATGGACAGATAGATTACAACGAGTTTGTGGTGATGATGCACAGAGGAGATACAGATTTAGGTAGGAAGAGGTTACAGAATAATTTTAACATTGGATTTAGAGAAGCAGTGCCAGTTTGTTAACATGAAACTGTTGACTCTTTCTTTATCTGATTTTGTAATGTAAACAAGTTGAGTAGGTTCCAGCATCAGTTGATGCTATAATTGTTTGTAGAAATGATGCCTACTCCTTTCAGTTTCACCATACAATTTCTGATAGTTTGCTACTTCATATGGATCATGTTTTTACGTACGATATGCTATGAATATTTCTCCTTATTTTCATATCTACTTGACGAGTTAGGTATATAACTGTGGGTGTTCCAACATTCTCCAAAAGAATCACTTCTTACAACAGACCTAACTTTCTTGGGGATTACTTCAATGGAACCACTTTCGCAGTTTCGCCCCTATATGTTCCACGCATGCCGCTCATGCTCATCCTGCCAAATGTACAAAAATTATTTCTAGCATAATCAAATAAAATATTAAAAAAAATGATTAAAAAGATGTATTTCGATATTCTCACCCTTTCTGCATTAGTTTTCCATTTCCTCTTCGGCTTTTTTTTTTTTTTTTTTTTTTTTTTTTTTTTAAAGTATGAAAATTTAATAACAGCTAAAGAAATGAGAGTGTCCCAAAGCCCCAAGCATTGTACATGCTACTTCCAACAATTTTACTGTACATCATAGCAACAAAACTCGTATTAATCATAGAATAAATACATTTCCAAAATTAGTAAAATCTTTTCAAGCTAATAGATTCAAAATCTTGGTCGAGATTTGCTGTCGTGCATTAAATAAAGAAGAAAACATTGAATAAATAACTATATACGAATATTTTTTTCGTTTTCGGTGCAAAAAAATAAAGACCAAAACATTTGTTACATGTTCGGTAGATTTCTATTTCACCATCGCTTCATTGAAAGCCCAATTGTAAATCCAAGAAGCAAACTAATAACACGAATATTTTCTTTGTTGTCGGTGCAAAAAAATAGAGGCAAACATTTGTGACAAGTTTGGTAGATTCCTTTTTTACCATCACAAGCTTCATTGAAAACCCAATCGTAAATCCAAGCAAAACACTGATAACATGCTTGGTAGGATGGACAATTTAAGCATTGTTTAGGATAGCTTGTGCTTTTCATAGAATAACTTCTTCGAGAAAGTCGCGCTAGATCAATTTCCTCTTAAAACTCTTCAAACCTACAAAATAGAAAATGATCCATATAGCTCTAAAAAAGCAACGTTCACCCTCATAAGCAACTTTTAACCATTCAAAAACCTAGCCAAATGAATCCCACACGACATTAACTTGCTGGCAAATTTGTTTTGTCGAGTCTTGTCCTGTATAATTGACGTCCACCAAAAACTAATTAAAATTCCGGCAACGCCCGGAAAAGCCCCAATTTGCACAAGTCAATTACCCCATGAATCAAGATTTGAACAACAGCACGGGCGGACCCACATGGGGTCATGTGGGGTCAAATGACCCCACAGTTTTCTGATTTTTTTTTTTTTTTTTTTTTTTTTTGTGCTGGAAACTTAATTTTTTGTTTTTTTTTTTTGTGCTGAAAACTTAATTTTCTGCCCCAAAACGTCCAAATTCTAAATCTATATCCATATCACATGGTCCATATCCATTATTTAGTCCATAAATATATCATATAATCCATCGATTTTTTCCCAAAGTGCACATATCGAATATGAACAGTAAACAACCGATTTTTCCCTTTTTTTCATGATACGTTGTTCGAAAAAAAAAAAATTTTGACACCACAGTTCAAATGGTCTGGGTCCACCCCTGAACAACAGTACATAATATGAACATTACTCGTCTTTGCTGCTTTGTGACAAACTTAGCAATAGCAACAGGGGCAGGTTTAGTTTCTTACAGATGGAACAAAATTCCATCAATTCCCTGTACAGAAATTCTTCCATCTGTATAGATATCGGGATCAAATAAATATGCAGAGGCTTCTCCTTGTCCAAATTTCACTGATCCATTAGCCTCTTCAGCCACCACTTTGCGCGGCAATCTCAGGGTAATCATACCTCGCCTTCCCAAATCTCCTCACTGAACTGTACATACTTTCTTAAATTTGGTACTTGGGAATTAGATGATAATACATTATTTGCTCGGGTGCACCATGGCTTCATCATTGGGCGCCAAAACTGTAAGCACGTAGCCTTCTGATATTAATCTTCCCATTTCAGAAGCTAATGATGTAAGATTGACGAGAATATCAGCCATTTCGATATAGCCACCCTTATGAGGAGAATCTGGATGAAGTCCGTCGAAATGATGGTGGTGGCTACCTGGACCTGGAGCAGTGAAGTGCCGGAGCAAGAGATGGACAGGGCGCCCTTCCATCAAAAAATGGGCAAAACCGGAGGCGCGCCAGCTGAAACTGGTGGCACCGGTTTCTCTGGTGCTCCCTCGGGTGGTACTGCAGGAATTGAGCTCAAACTTCGCCTGGTATTGGGAATCAATAATCTTTCAATGCCGTGGATGACGCCAGATAATATCATTTGCTTTAATAAGTCTGCAAAAATCGAAAAGATTAGGTACTGCCACTGGAATTTTCCCTAAATTCTAAGGTCCCATTCAAGAAATCCTATAATTGGAAAGAAAAAGTAGTTTCGAAAATGGAAAAATATAAAAGCACAGATGGGAATGATTCTTCTGGCTTTATTTTAATATTTGTTTTTTTAAGGTTTTATTTTTTAGGGGTTGTTCGTATTTGAAGTAGTATTATGATGAAAAATGTATGATTAAAAAATAGGAAAAAGTTTTAAGCTTTATTAAAAACTATACGTTGAAATAGTGTCAAATTATTGTTGAAAAATGTATTTTAATGAAAAAATGATGCTCAAACAAGGGCTTATTCTATTATAAATTATATTGATAGATGGTAAAATTTTATTAATGTGTTCATGACAAATGCTACAGTATAGATTTTATACTGGAAACAAAGCTATCTCACATGGATTAGGTGCTGACAAAAACAGTTTTTGCCAACAGCAAATTATAGGGAGACAACTGTTCCCTATATAAAATCTTGTTAAGAAAATATGTACCTACAGAATAATTCCTTGTTTATTAGGTTGGTTAGTGGGGTTAAAAAAGTATAGACACTTTATGTTAAAAAAAGTAGATAAAATTTGTGATTCCTAAAAAATGTATAGCAAATTGTTTAACTTAAGTCTATATCAATTGAGAACGCATAAGATATGAATATAAAGAAAGACTATAAGGGCGTGTTTGATTGCACTTATTTTTCGTGAAAAATATCAACTTTTCACCCAAATTCCTACTTTGAAGTATTTCCAACTTTTGAAAATATGTCTTGTTGACATTAAAATTAGTAAGGCTAATCTTAAGCCAACTTTAAGAAAAATGGGGATTTATTATTGAAAAAGACCACAAAATATGTTGAAAAAGTGTAATTGTGCTATGAGTTGTTATATGAATTCACTTGCCTTTTACAAGAATCCTATTCAAATATTTATATATAGTTTCAGTTGAAATTACATCAAATCAATCAAATCAGCTACAGTACCGAGCTTGAAACTCGGGTCGCCGAATTCTCCTGTGATTGGTTGACAAGGCTGGTGGCCATATGTCAATGTTTTCCCCAGGTAATGATGACCTGCAAGGAGTTTCAGATTTAGAACTTAGGATTGGCGGTTTCGGACGATGATGACGTTACCTGTGGCAAGTGTATGAAATTGATAGGGTAATGTGATAGGGGGTAACCATGATATTTTTCTGAGATAACGACGGGACTGTCCGACCTGGGAGCATGGACCGAACTCACATTTGCCTGAGGTGGGGGTCAGCAAACTGTTTTAATTTAGATTGGAGTTCGGTTGTCAACAGTTACCCCCCAACTCAGTTCTGCCGTAGGAAGAGCTGACCTTATTGATGCTTTCTCCAAGAAGTGCATTTATTGCCGTGCCAAGTGTCAACTTTTTGACGGGGATGAGCTGTAAGGCATTGTAAATGGCTGCTTCAGCAAGCTTGATTGTGAAACTACGTTGTTTTGGTCTTTTAAGCTTTTGAGCCATTGATTTTTCTCTCCATTTCTGGATAGACGGTTCAGATCGTGCCTTTTGGGTCTCATTTCCTTTAAATTCCTTTTCTCTCTTTATTTCACTGCTTTACTTTGTGCAACGAGTTTTTTTCCAAAAATCTTTTGGCAATTTCTTGGGTTCATTTCCTATTTCTCGAGTGAGGTCGTCAGTCTTCAGTTCTCAGGTATTCCTCTGCTTTTTCTTCGCACGTTTTTGTTTGCCATTATTCATTTTCTTCTGCATGAGCTCGGACGATTCTAGAGTGCATTCCTGGGGGAATAATCAAGAAGAAACCATCCCGTCCACTCCTAGTTCTTCGTCTAGTTTCCAGGAAATCTTGACACCCATCCCTATCTCAGTAGTTAATCCAACAGACCTAGGACATCCCGTGATTATGGAGTCAGGAGATGAGGATTCGAGGGGAGAGGAAGTTGGGTTTTGTGAGGGAAATGACTCAGGTGAATGGGGGGCCAGTTCCTACAAGTCTGCAGTTTCGGGTGATATGCTAGCAAGCCGGCGAGCTAAATACGCTATTCCGAGCTCGATTATTATGATAATACTTGAGCCATTTGACCGAGCTGATGCTCCTCCGGAGAGATGTGTCGCTTTAAAGTCAGCCATTCTTCAGGCCGGACTTAGGCCTCCATTTCCTAGAATAATCTGTAAATTCCTTTCATTCTAGGGAATAGCTCCCACGCAGTTATGCCCAAACGGGTGGCGGACATTAATCGCCACCCTCATTCTTTAGGACAGGCTGGGGAATCCCGAGCTGACTGTCAAGCAATTTAACTCCCTTTTCACTTTTAAAGAAGATTGGAAAAACTCCGGCTGGTGGTACACCAGTGTTAGGCCGACGACTGGAGGCTCACTAGTCTTAGATACTCCGTCCTCAATCAAAAAATGGAAAGAAGAGTTCTTTTACGTGTCTGGGGAGTGGCAGTTTCATCCTTCCGAGGTGAATAGAGAGGATGTGGTCCCCAGACTCTACCATTCATTGTGTAAGTGATTTATAATTTGTTCTTTGACGCACTGATGTGATATTGACTTTTGTCATGTTTGGCAGATTATAAAAAGGAGGCCTTGACTAAGGACATACAATGGCGAGCCGAAGTGATAAGAGCATTGCCAAAGAGGCAGAGGTCCTGTAAGTTCGTAATATCATATTCGAACTTATTTCAGGCA